GCTTAATGCCAAAAGATTTAGCCATTTTTTCTTACCTCTAGAAAGAGCAGAAGAAGCATACAGTTTTTTCTTATCATGCCACCACCCCTTCATCTTGTGCAGATCACACTATTGTTCTGCCTCTGGATCTCCTGGGTGGCAGCAGACTTTTTTTCCTCAACAGTGCCTTGCGCGCAAGTGGGGAGAAGTTATGCCAACAAACTCCCCCACATGACTCAGCATTTCTGCTGGGATTCTGGTGCTTCCAGCATATCCAAATAGTGAGGAGGACTTATGTCCTGGGAGCATAGTGGCAGCTGGCATGCGGGCTGTGGGGTTAAGCCGGCCTCCCAGCCTGCCCAGGCTCCGGGTACCAGCACAGCTGCAAAACTGCCCAGCTCTACGTCTCTGGAGGGTTCTCGCTCCCTCTGCCTCCTCCTCCTCCTCACTTCTTTCCCCCTGAGCCTATCGCTTCCATCAGGGAGGGAGAGATCGACCCAAGATGATTCTTCTGTTTTCCATAGCAGCTGCTGGCCAGGCTGGGGCAAGACCAGTCAGGGGCACGCAGTTTGCACAGAGGGAGGAAATCCCCACCCACCCACACACTGGCCACACACAGACACACACACACGCACGCGTATTGTGTCTGCCTTCAGGCCTATGTGCAAACATGACTTACATCCCCTGACTTGTTTATGAGGGCTGGGCATAATTGGCTTGCCTCACGCAACACCTCGGCGCCCCATCCCACCTCGTCCCCCCACACGCCTCTAAAGAAATTAGAAAAGTGACAACAAACTCCAGTTATGGAAAACCCACAAATTCACCACCAATCATGCTCCTGGCATGGCAGAGGGGGTGGGACTGCAAGCTGGGGGAGTAATTGGTGAACCCAGGGTGAATGAAATAATTGGAAAAGTGAGGTGTGAGTTTGTTACCGAAGTGTGAGCATGGTGGGGGAGGGGAGGAGGGCTGTGTTTAAAAGCCTGGTATGTCCTCTTCATTCACAGCTTCTGATACAGTAATTGCTACTTTGTGGTTTCTATTATCTGCACAGTGGGGAGCGTGGTGTGCGTCTCCTTCCCCAGCGGCAGAGCTGGGCTCAGGAAGGAGTTCCTGGGTGCCCCATGTTCTTCCTCCCCAGTCCCTGGTGGCCCTGCCCAGCTTCACCCCCACCGTGGCCTAAGCTCCCAGAAGACAAAGGTTCGTGCTCAACTTCCTTCAAAAGCTGCTCTTAGAAACGGCTCCGTAGACCTCGCTGTCAGATAAGAACCTTAATAATGGCTGGTATTTATATATCGCTTATCTCCAAGGAGCTAAAGGTACTTCATTGATTTCTTCTCCCCCAACCTTTTTTTTTCTTTTTAATTCTCTTTCGATAGCTCTCTGAGATCATTAGTATTGGCCTTATATGATCCCACACCGTTATACAAGTGACCGAGCCACTCACTGTCCAGCTTTGTTCTTGGGCTGGGAGAAGCAGCCCGGGTGAGAAAGATCTCGCCTGGATTTTGAGTTCTTGGGGTCATGGGACATGGGCAAGTCACCTTTCTTCTCTGGCTCTTGGTTTTCCCATCAGTAAAACAGAGGCATGGAGATGATGTATTTAAAAGACTTCGCACATTCGAGGCACTTGTTGGTAGCAGAGGTGCCGGCAGCAATGATGTCTTGACGCCTCAGCCGTGAGTTTCAGGAAGTGTCCACAGACATCAAGAAGTTCCTTCTAAGATCTAACCCTAACCTTCCAGTATCTCTTTAAGCCCCAGTTCTCTCTTGTCCTGTTCTTAGAAGGCAGGAAGAAACCTGCTCACCATAGCCATTTCTCTGACTCCCTGAAGAACAACAGGATTTCTGAAGCTTCTAGAGTCTTCATAGGCGGCATTTCATTTGTCGTGCCGATGTCTGCCTGGAAACACCCGACCACAGCTGTGACCTCCCCAAGGCCCTTCAACCGCCTGGGACGGGATCCCCAGCTCCCTGATCCCTGCCCATGATCCCAGGTAGATCCAGGGTGCCCTTCTGTCCCGGCTTTCCCCACTGTGCTCTCAAATGCCACTTCAGCAGGCCACGAAAGCATGGCTCCTGCAGCCTCTCCTCAATGGCGTTTCTCTCTACCTTTTAATTATTTTTCTCGTCTTTCTCCAGACCCTTAGCTGCTTACCATGCACAGAGCATCCACAGCTTGCGATATGCTGCAGAGAGGGAGGAATTAACCTCAACAGTCTCTCTCCCTCTCTCTCCCCTACCCCTTCTCTCCTACACTCACAAACACACACACACACGCACACGCGCGCGCACGCGTGCACGCACACCCACACACAGTCTGACTTACCAAAAACCCCTTCTCTCCTACACTCACAAACACACACACACACACACACGAGTCTGGCTTACCAGAAATTAGACAGAGCTAAGAAATCTGGACAGAGGTCCTTGAAGACCATGAAGGGATAGGAAATTGTAGCCCTGGTGGGCAGAAGTAGAGGGCTTGCACACAGTGTGAGCAGACGGAACTGGGACTCAGCCTACCTCCCCTTGCCTGGTGGTCTTAGAGAAGTCACCAGACCCCCAGGAGTCTGCACAGGGCATTCCCAGCCACCCTGCATGGGCCTTCCTGCTTTATCCCAGACCTGGCCAAGACTCGGGAAGAAAGAGGCCCCAGCTCTTGCCAGTGGCCAGTCCCCGTCCAGGTGATGCAAGGAGGTTGAGTCATTATGCAGCAGAAAAAGAGCTCAGGTGTGACAGCAGGCATGCCTGGATCTGCATTCTAACCCTGCTGCCTGTGAGCAAGGACCCTGGCTCCCAGAGCCTCAGTCTCTTCATCTGTGACATGGGGATGATAAGGCTAAGAGAGTTCACGTTTGTGCTGTGTGTTTCATTTCACCCTCATCACCGCCCTCTGCGGGTAGCTGTGATTTACCCAAGGTAACGTCTACCTTCCAGGGCTACCATTTGCTTCTTCATTCGTTCCAAAATCATCTTCAGGTTTCTACCCTGAGCCAGACGCTGGGCTCACTGCCACAGGTCTGATGATGAGCAAGATAGATGGGGCCTGGACTCTTGCGGAGCAGAGCCCTAGCCCCGGCCATAGAAGGCAGAGAAGTAAACAGGCATGTACCCCACACAGCCCTGGTCAGGGAACACAGTGAGCAGTGACACTGTGGATGGAGGCAGTCACCCCGGCCTTGTGGGGGTGGGAAAGACATCTCAGGGCTAGTGCAGTTAGGGGGATGCCAGGGCAGGGACAGAGGGACCAGCACACCCAGTGGCTGTCTGTGACCATGTTGAGAAAGCACCCAGCCTAGTCCTCCCAGTACCCGTCAGTTGCCTCATACCAGCTCTGAATGCTCTCAGGCTCCAGCCCCATAGCCACCGGATGTGCCATCCCTGCGGTCTCAGTGGCCCTCTGAAGACTTGGACCTAAAGAACCATTCACCTGAAGGAGCTCACAAGAAAATTTGTCCATGCCCTGCCCTCCCCGTTCAAAGCCAGCAGGGCATAAGGGCTTTGGTGGAAGGAAGAGCGGCAGTGTCTGTCATGGGATGCAGCCGCCTTTAGGTGGCAGAATGAAGCAGGGTTTGTGGGCTTGAGTCCTCTCGGCTCTCCAGCCTCACCTTGTCCCCACCTGCCCAGCCGCTAGTCCCCAGCCCCGGCCCCCCTCCAGCAGGGAAGCCTGACCGGGCTCCAATCCCCACGTTCCTGGCTCCTTCCCCTCCCCGGGAGGCTGGCCTTGTCACCAGTGCCTCTCTGCCGTTTCTGGTTGCCCATGCAGAGGAGGCACCAGGAGGGGGGAGCGGAGCTGCTGGGGAGAGCTCCGAGGAGACGTGCAGATTCATTTTGAGGATTCATAATGCTGCATTTACACACCGTCCTGCCTTCAGAAATTGGGCTGGCAGATGCCTGGTCATGCTGGCAGGGCTGTGGGTTAACGCCTCAGATTTAGCTTATATCATTTCACGAGAGCTTAGGGCCTTTACTGTGTTTTTTACCCAATCGGTCTTTGGCCCCGAGGCATCCTAGACCGTCGTGCATATGTGTGTGTGCCCAGGCGGCCGCAAGTGTGTGTAGATTTTCAAATAAAATAATACCTCTCTTCAGATGCCGTGCACATTAAATATTTATCGGCAGCAATTTGTGCGTATTTATTTGATAAATGGACATTAGGAAGGGATTGGGGGGTGGGAAGTCAGACAGGGAGGCAAGGGAGGCCTGGAGAAAGCCCTATCCCTTTGTCCTAGAATTTCTCAAAGGTTTACCCTGGAGGAGAGGAGGGAGCCGGGGCGGCGGGCCGGTGTTGGCAGGGGGAGTGGTCCAAGGCCGTGGTTACCGGTTTGATCCCTGTCAGGAGGAGCCAAGCCATTTTCTTCTCCAGAGCTTTGCCCGACTTTGGCTTAGAAGATACCGAAATGATAGCTCAGAGGGAGGGGAAGCAGGGTTTAGATGGAGTAGCTGTGTGTCATTTGATCACTGACGAAACAAATGTCCCAGGTTCCAGGTCCGAGAGAAGGGGCCCCATCCCATTCACTCAGCCCAGGGTCACCGTGTGCTCAGCTCAGACGTAGAGGCGGTTTGGAAAGATCAGGAGACCCTGCTGATCCATGTCCAGAGCCCCAGCTCACACACATGGGCAGACCCATTGCCCTGACCAGGCTCCCCCCCTTCCCCCACCGCCAGCCTGTCTGCTTATGTACTAGGCAGGGTCCTCCCCGGTGCAAAGTTACCCCACAGGGAAGTGGGGCCTATTGAGGGGCAGAGTCTCTCTAGCCGTTGCAGAGGAACTGAAAATTCTCCAATTGCATCTCCAGCCCGATTGTTCCCTCCCTGCCCTGCCTGATGGCCGGGGCCGGGGAGGAGAAGGCCGCTCATGCCCCGGAGCTGACACGTGCGTGCGTCTGTGTGTGCCTGCCAGCACTTGTCTTTTATAACTCAAAGGGATTCACGTGTGAGAATCAGTCCTGCCTCCCCCACCTCCCTTGCAGGCCTCTATTCTTAAACCCCCATGTCTTGCCTTTTGTTTCTAGCACCTTTGGGGAGTTGAAGACGGTCCGCCTGCCAAAGAAGATGACCGGGACAGGCACACACAGAGGCTTCGGCTTTGTGGACTTCCTCACCAAGCAGGATGCGAAGGTGAGACCGTGGCTCCCTTCCCCGCCTGTCTGGGACCCTTTGAGGAAAGGCAGCCAGGCCTCTTACACATGGATTCCCCTCCCCATGCAGGGGTTCTGTTTTTGCCTTTGATTTTGCTTAATGTGTACATCATCCTTGGAGAAGATCCTAGGGGTCTTGTATCTGGAGGAAGGGGCAGTTTCTGTGTCCCCTTCCCTCTCCCCATTTCACATGTGCAGGAGCCTGGGACATAAACTGGGGATGGGAAGCAAATGGGTGTCCCAGGCTTCTCCAAGTCATCAAGAAGATTCCTCAGTTCAGGTGGGCCCGTGGGTAGGCAGCATGGGAAATGCCACGCAGAGAGGGCAGAGCACTGGGAATGGAGAGCAAGAGGCACTTGAGAAGCAGCCTCAGAATGCGTCTTTCCCTTTCTTTTTTCCACTCGTGGCCAAGGGTTCTGTTTTATGCCGATTATCTGTGTGGGCAGCCCAGGCAGGGGCAGCCATGTGCAAGCGTGTACCAGGATCCCTCCAGGCTCCTAGAGAACCTTTTATTTTTGAAACAAGGCAACATCTCCAAATTGGCTCAGTTCAGCACAGCCAGGCTTTGCTCCCACAGTGGGTGCTGGGCCCAGCCGCAGGTGTGGGGCAGAGGCTATGTGAACAAGGCCCCGGGTGTACCCAAAGCCACTGCCTTCGAAGCACCAAGCTTCAGGTCAGAATCCGGAAGGAAGGTGGCAGCAGAGCTGTCACAGTGCGCTGCCCTCTGTGAGCTCTGCCTGCGGTGGCCAGTCCCCTCTCTCAGCCTCACTGTTCCTCAAGGGTAAAATAAAGTGACAGGGAGGTCTCATTCTTGGCTGGGATCCCCCCTACCTCTGATGAGCTGTTCCTTGGAAGAACAGTGAGCATTTCCTGGAGTCACAGCCATGGGCTTTAGCAGGCTGGCATCACAAGAGGCCCGGGGGTGGGTCAGCTACGCAGAGCCAAAGGTGGCAGCTCTGGGACACAGCTGCAGCCTTTGTGGACCCTGGGAACATGCACAGGCAGAGAAGGCACACAGGGACCCTCGGAGAGCCTCGCCAGCCACCTTTGTCTCCGAGTCTTGAGCTGAAGTGCCTGTTTTGTTGACACATGGCTGTGTTTGTCCGGACATCTGCTCCTCTCTCCTCCTGGCTGGCAGCCTTTCCCTTGCCTCTCGTCAGGGACAGCAGGGGACACACCTTGCATGCAGCAGGTCATGGCCCTCACCCTTACAGCGGGGCAGGCACATGGGGCCCTGTGTTGGTTCAGGGCTGCACTAGAGGGCTGCCTTTCAGAGTACCACGCGTGGCAGCTCGCCTCCCACCGGCCTTCCCTGTGCCACAGCTTTCTCATCTGCGAAACGGGAATGATGGCCATGCCTCGCCCCCCAGGGTTAGGGCAGGTGATGCATCAGAGGCACTGACTGGGTCCTGACATGTGGTGAGCACTCAATACCAGCACACTGTTTCCTTCTCGTTGCCACCAGCCCGGGTCCCTTCAGAGCCACCCTTGGTCCGTGGAATCGTGCACACATTTGATGCTCTGTGGACAGAAGGGAGTGCAGGGCAGCATCCTTTCTCCACTGCATTCCACTGAGCTCGACTGGGTGGTGACGGTGTAGATGTGTTGTCATCCGTCTTATAGCAAAGTTCCTATAGGAAGCTGTGCTTAGGGGAGAAATGAGGGATTCACTCCCTGCCCCTAAGAAATGTCTCTTACGAAGACCGGTGTGAGAGCTTGTCGTTAGAGCACAAACTTCAAACCCAATCAGCCTGAGTTTGAACCCCAGAGCTGCCCTGAATCTCCCGTGTGACCTTGAGCAAGTGACATCCTTTCTGTATGCCTCAGTGTCCCCTGTCGTAAAATAGTCATAGGGCTTTTCATAGAGTCATTGTGAGGTTTGGATGGGGTGATAACCTTAGAACAGGGCCTGGCCCCTGCGTCCTGGCTGTTGGCTATGATGAGGAGGCGGAAGGCATTGGTGGTGACGATGGTGATGATCTGAAATAAGGGGATATTCTCCTTATTTGACCAGCCACCGGGCCTCTTATCTGACCCACACACTGGGCATCTTGTGATGCAAGCCTGCTAAAGCCCAGTGGGTGCGACTCCAGGAAATGCTGACAGCAGCTCAGGAATAGCTGCTGGAGGTGGAAGGGATCCTACCCATTCAACGAGAGCAGAGAGCAAAGGTGTCGGAGCCCCTTCCCTGGAAGCCCTGTTTCCACACAGCAGCCTCTCTTCAGCACCCAGAGGTTGATGCCGAGTTGACTCAGCCCTTGGGACATAGAGGGTCCGACCAGGGCTGGGCCTGGCCGTGAGCCCTTTGACATTTCACTGTGGGCTCAGTTTTGCCCTTCAGCTTTATTAGGACAGAAGGTGGACTCCCAGGTAATCAGGGCAGTGCATGTCATTAAGGAGGTTCACCCAGTGCCCAGGCGGCCTGAGCTTGGCACCTCCAGGCCCAGCCACGGATGCTCATTCTGAAGCCCAGCACAGCCCTCTGGTGATTTATGAAGGTGGCAGCTCCTCCGCCTCCATCCCTTCCCTGCCTTCACTTCGGGCTCTGGGAGGAGAAAGGGCAGCTGAGGACAGTACAGGCTCAAGTCACAGCCCCTCCAGGATTGGCCCTTCTCCCTGTCAGGAGGCTATTTCTGGTCCCGCCGTCCCTGCAGCGACTCTTCCCTCTCCCACGCTGGGACTCGTACCCTCAGTGCCCGCCACAGGATGCGCTGATCTTCCAGGAAGGAGGAGCCCACCACAAGCACATCTCTCCTATAAGAATCCCTTTGCTCTTTTTGCTTCCTGGGGAAGCTGCCACTGCTCTCTCCCTCCCTGGCCCCAGGTCTGTCTGGAGAACTTTATTATCTCTGAGTGGAACATTTAGCACTCTCCACTGACCCGAAGAATCCTGCACACTGCATATTACTGAATAGAATTCTGAATATTGTAAATATCTAGTTAGCTCGAGGGTAGGTGTGAGTTTGAAGAGGGAGAGCAATACTGCCAGAGACATGGAGTCAAAAGCCCTCTTTTTTATCTCAGCAGAAGGAATTAGTGAGAACCCAGGGCTGGTAGAGGAGCCTCCATGATCCCAGCCTTTCAGGGCCGGCTCCCATGCATCCCCCCACCCCTCCGTGGAAGCTCTTAGGGAAGGAGACCTCCTTTAGAAACCCTTCCTGGGGCTCCGTTCAACCCTGACCCACTCAGATCCCCTGCCGAGGGCATTGATCCCATTTCCTGCCATGGCACCCTCAGTGAAGATAGTCGCCCCCTGTGTTGGCATCGGCCGCCTCTTGAGCCAGGAGGTCTGCCCCAAGCAGTCCTGAGATGGGAGGAAAGAAGGGAGGGATTGCCTGAAAGGAGGGGGCAGCTGAGCTCATTGTAGAAGGTGAGGCTAGAAAGGAATAGAGAAATGAATGGTTTCTGGGAGGCTCCAGTGCTGCGGCTTGAACCCCGGTATCTCGACTCCCGGAACAGTGCTCTTTCCCCATCATCCACCAGCCCATTTGTCCGCTGGCAGAGCATAGAAGAGTTAAGACATCCCCTCGATACCAGTCTCTGCTGTGGCCCTGAGCACGTGCCGTCTCCACCATCCCTGAACTGAGGGGTTCTAAGTTGTCTGACTTTTCTCCATGAGACCCGCGTCCCACTGTGCGTGTCCCCCAGGGCTCTGTTATATCCATCAGGCCCCTTCTGGATCAAGCACACACACACCCAAACTGAAAAGAGAATCCTTGCAAGAGGTTCCTCAAAGGCTGTTGTGGCAGAGCTCAGAGTAACCAGGCAACTGATGATAATAGCAAGAGGCTCCCTCGAGCGCCGGCTTTGTGCGTGACATTCACCACACTCGCACCGTCCCACCCCACCCCAACCTGCGGCAGCCCCAACCTCAGGCGGGAGATTTGCATCCCGTCTCCCTCCCCGGCCTCACCAAGCATTTGCTAAGCTCCAGCGCTGAAGGTACCGCGGAGCCCTGTGAATTGATAGGAAGCCCAGACCCCAGTCTGTTACTGAGCTGCTCGGGTGAACCGAGGGTGGGTCTTGACCATCTGCCCTTGTCACGGGCCCTGGTGACCAGAGCCCTGCTCAGAGGAAGCAGGATCGATGAGCTGGCATATTCTCCCAACCTAGGACATTCTATCAGCCCCTGATGTCCCGGGCAGTAAATGTCAGTCCCTCCGAAAGTGCTGGTGTTATCAAACCTCCGGGTGTGATGATCCGGCATTTCTCAAAGAACCTTCCCCCACGTGTGGAGGGAAGCAGGGGACAGAGGTTGATGAGGGAAGGAGAATGGGGGCAGTGCAGGAAGTGAAGGACTCGAGCAGGACTGCATCCTGAATGCAGTGGTCTCCTAGGTGACCTGGGTCTGCACCGTGTACACGACTGTCTGTTGTGTCATCAGTGCCATGCAGCCGGGGGACCCCACAACTAGGATGTTTCTAAAAGGGTAATATCTTTGAGTTGGTAAAAACTATCAACTTCTGGAAGCCCGTCTTTGGCAGGGGTGGTATAGAACATTTGCATATATGAGTTTTAATCCTCATGGGACTCTAGGAGATAGGTGGTAGGAGGCCATTGGACAGTGAGGGAGACCAAGGCTCAAAGGGACAAAGTTGCTTGCTCAAGGTCATATGGTGGTGCTTGGCAGAGCTGGGAAAATCTGATTCCAAAGCTTATATTCAGGGATTCCTCCTTCCTTCGTTCACTGGTTCACTTAAATTCCATGTATCTCCACACCAGGCTCTGGGTAGAGCCCCTTCTCCCTGTCATGCCATCCCACCACCTCTCACCCAGCCCTGACACCTCACCAAGGAGAAGGACTCTCCAATTAGATGGACACTTTGGAGGAAGGCCAAGAAGTTGTCCCTTAAAACGTCTCTTGGGAACAAGTCCAGGATGAAGTCCACTCCTTCCAGCACTCAGAGGAGGAGTGGGCATTCAGTGAGCTGCCCCTGCTAGCACACACTACCGTGCTGCCTTCCAGCCCTACCAAGCCCG